ACGATTCAACGAGGTTAATTGCCGCTAAAAGAAAACTGGTTTCGTTCTCGTGTATTCTTCTGTAAACTGGTTTTCTTTGTACTCTTTGTTATTAATGTAACTAACATCGACGAATATACCTATCCTTTAAATCGAACAGTATTTACTGCAGTGCTGCTTTCGAACTGAATTGCAACCAATTAACGAAACAAACGTGTAAATGTATTTGTATTATTAGGTCGTTGCAGATGAAATGATCGAGGTGTTGATGAAACTTTCAACCGCGTGCAGTGAAAATACGATATTAATTGCCTTTCTTTAAAAACAGAAATTTAACAATTTAAATGAATATCTGTCCAACTAAAAGGTGATCGGTGGAATTGTTAAGTTCTGACAGAACTTCACAGAGTCTGACGTTTAACGAGAAAATAATTGGCAAACTGAGGCTAGCTTTCAGCTTTAAATTGACGTACTTGCAGTAATTAAATATATGCTATCTAATAGTAGCTTTGAGAACGAAATTCTCAAATCAGCCATTTCATGTACAACAACCTACTAAAAAGAAAAATGTTCATTAAACGATACACAGAACGTGTATCCGAATAATCTCACCGCGGCTCTTGAGTGGCACAGGAATTTGAGCATGAGGTCATAGGTATTATCATAAAACTGCAGTAAACACGGGTGACTAATCTGATCGAGAAAAAAACTACACCACGAGAAACTAGACGAAAACTACGTTTCAACGATTTTAAACTCGCTTTAAAAAAAAAAAAAAAAAAGGTAAAATTGAAGGAGGCAAGTGTCCCGTATCTTCTCGTTGTTAGTTTCGTTCTCGAGACGCACAAGGAAGGAGAGGTATCGAATAAAGAGTAGAGTGCTCGTTGAAAACGAGCACGTTCACGCAAATATCCCACGAACAGAGGATGTGTACAAATTCGCGGTACAAGGAACGTCCATTCGCTGGTCGACCAAAGACAAAAGGTCTTCGCGATGGGAACCGGCCATCAAATAGGTATGTTTTCATTTCGATGCAAATGGGAAAACGTCGAGAGAGGAGGGGGAGAAAGAAGAAAGAAAAAAGGATGAAAACGACCGATAAACGATCCTCTCGATACTTTGAAGTTCCCGGAAGGCCGATGAAAGAGCAACGAAGGAAACGAAAATATGAGGGAAGCGGACAAACGCAATCGAAACAATCGCTGATAATCGATGCAACCGGCAACGTAATAATCGTTCTATCTTGCAGCAATACGCGCTTTCGTTCGTGCAATCTGCCACTCGAGATATTCGCGCTTGAAATTTATTCAAAATCTTTCGTCGAATATACTCCGTTATTTCTATTAGGTCGCATTCAAATTTCCCGCGGTTTCGAGCCGTTCGTTTTGAAAAAACGTAACTCCGCTGAAATTCAATATTCCCATTTCAAATAATTCTCTTAGAAATTCGGATTTTTCTGTCCACGGAATTAAAAGTGTATGGAACATTATAGAAATTATTTTAACTTCCAAGTCGTACGGTGTTAAATTTTCTTATCAATACCTCAATTAATTCAAAAAACACGACAATTTGAACAATTCCCTCCTATTTTCTAAACATTCGCTTTTATCCCCTTCCTCTTTTCTTTCATTTCTCCTTATACATACTATAAAGAAAATACACATTTATAATAACAAAATGAAACTTTCAATTCGAAACGAATCTCGAGGCAAGGTCAATTTCGTTAAACATTGCGCTAAACGTCTTCGTGAAATCCACGATGTAAATCAGTGAATTAAACGTTACAACTGGTGAATCATTCGGAAACGCGATCCCCTAATTATTTCGAGCGCATAATGAGCAACCGTTCGACGTGTCATCGACGCTACTCCGCCAGACACTCGAGCGGTCTCTCTGCAAACGGTACTGGTCCGCACAGCGATTTATGGCGCCTAGCGCCGATACATATTCATCGCGTGCGTTTGAACGTCAACTATTCTGGTTCATCCTAGTAACGTGTTGCTGGTGCCTGGGCGTGAAAACGAACTTTGACGCGGGACGAGCTGCCAAGGTCGTAAAAATCGAACGACGCTTCACCCCGCGGAGATTGACGAAAAAGCGAAGGTTATGAAACCTGACGACATTAGCGTTCGAGACAGACGATCTCTAATAAAAGGGCACCTTCGCGACGCTTTCTCACACGTTCGTTCTTTTCGTAGAAAAGAATTATTTTTATAAATTTCAGGCCTTTCTGCTTTTCATAAAAACACTAAAGTTGTGTAGTTTACGAATACTTGTGGTCACACCTTGCGAATTTGTAGAAATTGTGTTAGCAAAAATGATATATGTATGTACTACATATATCGTAGTAAATGATATATGTTGAGAAATGTATATTCTAAAATATTCGAATTTTATGTTTCGTTAATACAGATGTCTTTATTGCTTCTTTCCGTTAGACGGTGTTTAAGTGTGAACGAAGGTCAAGGGTAAGTTGTATTTACAATGGCGATGCGTGATTGTTTAACTAGTATCGGAATAAAATTACGGTGGGTAATGCGGTGTATTATGTTCGATACCTTCTTACATCCCGTTAAAAGATTTATCACATGAGCAATATTACCGTTGTTTAAACCTACTAACATAATTTCCCTTACTTAAATTCTCGAAACGTAATCTATGCTCTACTGATTTTCCAACAAACGAACGTATACGTGAAACTTTCTCGTGTATCGTACGTACGTATATACTTTGTCGAAATAAAACACATAACAGTGATCTGTTTACCGTGCTTCAAAAGTACAATAAAGGAAGTAACCTTACTAATGACTTATAGCGTATTACTCGGCACATTTATTTGTGTGGAAAGTATGTAAACAACGTATTTTTCTGATGCAATTAACTTGAGAATTTGTATTAACGAGATATGCCCCTATGCTATTATAATGCGTAGTTAGTACTATACAATATTGACACTTTAAATCCTGCATTTTTTCGAAAATTCTATAAACATTAAACTGCATAATTTTGGTGTAATTGAAACTTACTATTTCACTACATACTTAAATCTGATTCGAAAGAAAACAATTATTACAGTACCCCGTTTATCTTTTGTTCACCCTGTGACCTAGAAATGGGCGTTGGGATATTACGTAACTCGACACACTTGCTTGTAGCAACAGTATACAAGTACTAGGAGTTTAATCGAAATAGTGAAAATGTACGATTTTCAAACAGCGAACGTACAATGAGATAAATCCAGACTATTTGAAATAGTTAAAAAATTTGTACGCTCGAATGATTGCTAAGGTAAATAAACGCCAATACAAAGGAAATATTCTTCACTCGTGGAGGTAAAAAAAAAAAGTGTTCTCTGTCTGTCAACTTTGTTTACCCAGAGATAAACGCAGAGAGAGAGAGAGAGAGACTATCATGAAATATAGCGTGTGACATTCTTGGGACGGTACACAGACCAGGGAGTTTTCGTACGATGACAGACTCCCCCTACACTTGTTGTTATGCAACGAAGCGTGTGGACCCCGGCTTGAGTGCCGGCTAGCGAAATGAACGAAATAAGTAAAATAGCGTTTCCGTGGCACAGAGCGCACGTGCATCTGGAAGGTTCACTGTACCAAACACTTTTGTATACACAACCACACATAACCTACCTCCTCGTTCGACCTATTCGTTTAATTTCACTCTTTCTTGTCTTATTAACCGGCAACACGCGAAAGGTAGGAAAAGCAAAGGAAAATAGGAAACTTGTACTCACCACAGACATTCAGCCAACCCTCGACGCGACAAGGATACTCCAGTTTCATCGTGAACTGTTGTAACCGAACACCAAGTGCCAAAGATGTATCACACTAGTACACTGGTCACATAAGGAAACGAATGAAACAGCCTGTAGTCAAAATGTGTTACCACTGTTAAACAATATCCGCGGCACACATTCTCCCGTGCGTTCATGCGACGCGAGACGAACCGGCGTATTTTTGAACCCGGCACGGGAACGCGCGCAGACGAAACGATACGCAAAATCACGGAGAAAGTAAACGCAGAAATGTCGAAGAGTCGTTCTTACGAACGCGAGCATACACACTGCCTGGCGTTGCGCGCGCAAACCGTCGACACGATCCACACACACCGGCGAACAAATCCGAACTAACTGAACAAACCCTCTCACGTCCTCGTTGAGCCGATCTTCCTTCTCCTTCTCTCTCTCGCGGCTCCGCCGCCAGCCCCTCTCGCTTTCAGGTGGTGCGTTCATCCCATGTATACTTTTCTCATAATTGCTCGAGTTATATCACTGATTTCGATTACAAATTTTCTGAAATAATTGATCCGTTATTTACCTGCGACGACATTTATTAGACCGAACGTGACTATGGGTTTTGAAACGATATTCGATAAGAGAAGTGACATTCGATTTTCGAGATGAGTATTCCAAGATCGATATATTGAAAATACAAATTCGAGAACCGCCAAAATTTTTTATTACTGCAACAATAGTCAAATTACCACTTTAATCAAATTATGTTTTCCATACATTATTTATGTTATTCAACAGCTTTTCATCATTTGAAAGATAAAAATGTTTACAATCATATTTAATTATTTGAAAAATTTGGCGGTTAAACAATTGCTAACAGTATTTTGCAATTTTGTTTTACCAATACATAACTACAAATACGAATGCTTCCATATGTTCTCGATCAATTTTTTAAATACTTTTAAGTACACTATTTACCGCAATATCAAATTCTACCTTGCCTACTACCATAATACCCTGTCATATTCGTATTAAATCAAACAACATCGTCATCCTTCACAATATCAGTAATAAAATCTATTTCTTAGACATAAATAATGTAAAGAAGTTTGGAAGTAAGGAGAATAATTTATTAAACACTTACATTAGCATCCACGGTCCAGTGTCATCGATTCGAACGAAGAAACGTTACTATAGATAATCACGAACTATAAGATAATTCTAGAATTATCTTCGCCTTCGTTCCTAAACGCCACCTGGTAACCAAACCTAAAGTCAGTCACTAGCAAAATGGCGCTTAAGGCACAAGTCGGTCAAAGTGAGTAATAAAAAATAATGTAATTTTCCGCGTAGTAAGCAAAATTTTGAAATATTTTTTTATTGTAATATCGAAGCAATCTTGTATATTCATTTTACACGAAAATCACATAGTCTACGCCACTGTCAGAATCTGTAACCTCCAAAGGGGCGTATGTGACGTGATGAGCTCATCGTTTACGAAGCGGCTGCTAGATAGAAATGTCAAACTCATATTTCACAAACGCGTTGCATTAAAATTATGTCTAAAAAATGTCACGAATTACTGTATAAAACAATCTAGGTTTCCAGTATATGCTATTATCAAATTTCCAATCTATTGATTGCAAAGGTTTACTTTATTGATATTCTATCTTAGTAAATATTTAGTCAGACTCTCGTAAAACCAGTTAACTTTTATTCTTAGCAAGAAAAAGACGATTCTGACTACTTTCCCTAATAACATCGTTAGTTTTAAAGAACGTTTTATTCTTGTATGCTTGTATGCTGAACAAAGTAAATGTTAATACCTGTCATTGTAATTATTTGTAATAATTTATTGCATAGTAATAATTTATTGTTTTGCGTTTTGAATATTACTCAGTTCTTTCCAGAAGAACTTCAAGTATATAAACAAAGTATGTTTTCCAGTCTCTTAATTAAGAGTTATACCTTTCACAAAATACTAATTAAGACAGTAAATCAAGAAATTATTTTTAACATTCGAAAAATAAGTAATCATTATTTTCTTTAGAAATTGTAACGTCGTTTATTAAACAATAACAATAATTACTACGCATTGCGAAATCTTGAAATACGTATCGATGCTACCAAACTGTATTGAATAATTTAATTAGTAAATCACCTCTTCATAAAACGATTTCTACGTTGCGATGAAATCTGATCACCCGTGATGTCTTATTAATATAAAAGACCTTTTTCCGGAGGTGGCGTCAAAGTGTACAATCCATAAATTTCTTTTATTTCGATGTATTATTTTAAACATGGTTCCTTGCTCTTTAGACACGATCCTGTCTAAAGTGTGACGTCATTGCTCCGTAAGAACGATCAATACGCGTTGAGAGCGCCAAAAGATTTCTCGTTCAATTTTAAATCACTCAATTGTAGTTATAAATCAATTGTGAAGAATTATTATTATTCCGATGAATACGTAACATATGTTATAATCACTATTGTAGGAATGTGTCAATAAAATTTCTTTCATTTTGTTCGTATTATGCATACTACGCAAATCAAATAAATATCGTTTGAGAGTCAAACTAGCGTTAAAATTAAATTGATTTTCGTATTTCATACAGAGTATTTGTACGAAAAGAACGATAACTGAACGCAATGACGTATGCTTAAAAAATTTCATATGCTGCGTCGTTCGTAATTTTGTATCATTCTTTTATTTTTCTTCGCAGAGATTATGAATGAAGTCATTCTGCAAAAGAAAACTGCAACAAGTGGAGCACAATGGCGTATTCTGGTGGTCGATCAACTGGCTATGAGAATGGTATCGGCGTGCTGCAAAATGCACGATATCAGTGCTCAAGGAATTACCTTGGTGGAAGATATCAACAAGAAACGAGAACCCTTGCCCACTATGGAAGCGATCTACTTGATCACACCATGCAATTCTTCTGTTCAAAAATTGATCGAAGATTTCAACAATCCTACCAGGACCACTTACAGAGTCGCTCATGTTTATTTCACCGAAGGTATATTAACGATTCATAATCTTTCTCGATCACGATGGATATTATCATAAGAAAAAAATCTACTATCAAGTTAAAATTTAATTCCATCCTTCAATTATGCTATCTTTTCTTAACATATTTCTCATTTTTTTCGCGTACACATGAAAATACATCTTCAATGTTCTTTCTTTCTTACAAGAATACACGTTTAACAAGCAGGCAATATAAAAAGAATGATATCATGCGGGCCGGGCAGGCAGCTACTTTCGATTTTAGTACTGCACCTGAGATTCTAAGTATATCTCTTTACAGTGTGTCCCGATGAGTTGTTCAAACAATTGTGTCACTCGCTGGTAGCTAAACGCATAAAGACACTAAAAGAGATCAACATCGCTTTCATACCGTATGAAGAACAGGTAAAGCAAAAGGAAAACTGTCACAGAGAAAACAAAATGTTTGATAACTTTACGTTCTTCGTGGTGGCGGGCACATTATTTCGCAGACGAATATAACGTACACACACACACAGAAACATTGTTGCCCTTAACATATACCAATCTATCCACACTTTTATGGCATTTTGACTCACGAACCTTTTAATTTCTGGACCAGTGATCACGACCAATGTTAACACAATTATTTGACTTCATCCCCCTACTTCCCTATTTTGTACAATACTCACAATATAAAGCACGTACTAACGATGGAATGCATTCATGCTTGCACGCGACCAGTGTGTCCGGAGGAGCTGTTCAATGAACTCTGCAAGTCTCTCGCCGCTAAAAAGATCAAAACCCTGAAAGAGATCAACATCGCTTTCCTGCCTTACGAGTCGCAGGTGACGAACAAATGAAAGAGAAATCATAGCTGCTAGTAGTAGTTGCAAATCGCGATAGTTATTATTCTGAATTTTCTGAGTTTCGATATATAAAGAATTTCCTATATCTTCTTCAGTTCTTTATTTTACGGGGTAGAATATAGGCGAAAGACTTCTATAAATACCTTTGTATGTTCCTGTTTTTTCCTTTCGTCTTTTGTATATTTAATGCATGCAATTTTGTATACTGTTATTTACCGTGATTCTTTTATAAATTAACTATTTTTCGTTTTCAATGTATGTATATATATATATGTAATCTGCTAAAATTAATTACACTGCTTGAAATATAAAATTACAATAGTTCGAGATTTAATAATCGATGTAAAGATAACGCTAAAAGGTGTAAATAATTAAACAGGTTTTCTCTTTGGACTCGCGTGAAACATTCGCTTGCTTTTATAATCCTTCCTTCTCCAACATGAGAACAGCCAATATGGAAAGAATAGCCGAACAGATCGCGACACTTTGCGCTACTCTTGGAGAATATCCGTCAGTTAGATATCGAAGGTATAGAATCGATATTTTTTTCAATTTACTTTAGTATTTTTAACTATACATTTCGTTCCAACAGTGACTTTGACCGAAATGTAGAGCTAGCACATATGGTTCAACAAAAATTAGATGCCTACAAAGCGGATGAACCAACAATGGGTGAAGGACCTGAGAAAGCACGTTCACAATTACTTATTCTAGACAGAGGATTTGATTGTGTTTCTCCGCTATTACACGAGTTGACGCTGCAAGCTATGGCATATGATCTGTTAGACATTGATAATGATGTTTATAGGTAAATGCAACAATACGCTCATAAGTGATTAATTTCAAATGACATTTTAACACTAAAATTTTTTTATAAGATTCGAGGCGTCAGCAGGAGTACAAAAGGAAGTATTATTGGATGAAAATGACGATCTGTGGGTAGAACTGAGACATCAGCACATTGCTGTAGTTTCACAGTAAGTGGTATAATTTCAAAGTTAGTCAAATAAGAAAATACTGCTGCGTTTACAAAATATCTAATTTGTTTCCAGAAATGTTACCAAAAATTTAAAGAAATTCACAGAGTCGAAAAGAATGCCGCAGGGAGACAAACAAAGCATGAGGGATCTTTCACAAATGATCAAGAAAATGCCACAATATCAAAAAGAATTGAGCAAATATGCGACACATTTGCAATTAGCAGAAGACTGTATGAAACGTTACCAAGAAAAAGTGGATAAATTATGTAAAGTAGAACAGGTATGCTGTATATAAAATATTTTTAAATGTACATCATTATGACTTATTTATTAAATATAACGTCATTTATGTATTATGTTTTACAAGGATTTAGCAATGGGTACAGACGCTGAAGGCGAACGTATCAAAGATCAAATGAAAAATATTACGCCAATTTTACTTGATCAAACTGTGCATCATTTAGATAAATTACGAATTATTGCATTGTATGTTATTAGTAAAAATGGCATTTCCGAAGAAAATCTTAATCGTTTAGTTAATCACGCCCAAATATCTGCTGATGACAAACAAACCATAGTAAACATGGCAAATCTTAGTATTAATATTGTTGTAGACGTAGGTATCTTGCTTTATCAGTTACTGATAAATTACATACTGTATTATTTTATTGTTATATATTCTGATTCTGTATTATTTTATTGTTATATATTCGTAGGGTGGAAACCGCAGAAAATTATATACCGTGCCACGTAAAGAAAGAATTACAGAACAAACTTATCAAATGAGTCGTTGGACTCCCGTTATGAAGGATATTATGGAAGACGCTATTGAAGATAAACTTGATTCTAAACATTTCCCGTTTCTTGCTGGACGTGCAGCAAGTTCGGGATATCATGCACCAACTAGGTATAATAACAACTTATATATATAAAATATATATATTTGTATGTAAATATTTTTGTAACATATCATAATTTATTTTTAGCGCAAGATACGGGCATTGGCATAAAGATAAAGGCTCCCAAACCATTAAGAACGTACCACGATTAATTGTTTTTGTTGTCGGCGGCGTTTGCTTCTCTGAAATACGGTGTGCTTATGAAGTTACAAATGCTTTGAAAAATTGGGAAGTAATAATTGGTAAGTATTGAAATTATAATAAATAATTGGTAAGTAAGAAATTTGTCTTAATAATAATTCATTACTTTGCATCAGGTTCGTCGCATATAATTACACCAAAATCCTTCTTAGATGACTTGAGTAAGCTTCACGTATAAAGAGACTTCTGTGTTGTAAAC